GCAAAATATTTGGAGTTTAATTGCTATTGTCTTGAAAAACATCTGTTTTGTGTAACTGGAATAAAATGTGTTAGGTTGTCTATAGTCGTGGTTAAAATTCGTAAGCTTTAGTGAAATGCACGAAACTGTTTTTGAAAAAGTTTTGACACTGGTAAGAAATGCTTCTTTTTTTCTGAATTTAACTGTTTTTCGAAAAATCTGTCTGGCATTAGAAATCGCAGTAGATTTATAATGAAATTTCTTCAAGTAGAAAAATTAATAAAAATTTTTTACCCTTTGCAGTTGGACAAAATGTGTGGATTTCGCAATAAAAAATAAATTTTTTAGGCAATTTATGAAATGCTTGGTCCCGAAGCTAAAAAAGCAACAGATGTTGCACCCAAAGAAAAAGCTAAAACTATATTTGCAAAAATTGATGTTAACGGCGATAAAGTAAGTGGTATTACAACCTTTCAAACAGTTACTTCTTTTTGTTTTGAACAGAAAAAATGAGTTGTAACTTTATCGTCTTTATTTGTGATATTCAACTGCTTGTTGCATTATAATACTTTTGCTAAATTTTAATGATCTTTTTAAAAAATATGCTAAGTTTTATTTAAAAATTTATTTAAAAAAAATTTGTTGTTACTAGTGAAATAATTGCAGCAAATTACTCAAAAAGAATTCGTTGATGGCTGTCTTGCTGACAAGGAACTGTTCCACATCTTGACAAATGAAGGGGATCGATGAGGTGATCTTGTTTTATTTGCCACTCAAGCTGGGCTTTACTGACCTGTTATCTGCACCAACTGTTTTTAACTTTTTTTTTTTTTCATTTTTGGCTTTTGTTATTATTATTAAATATTAATTAGAAACTTCAAAATGGCACTCTAAGATAGCAACAGTTAAAATTGAAATTTCATTTTCTTATACTTTCAGCTTGAGAATTAGATAAATGTAGTTTTTTTTCTTTGATAACTGTTTGCTATATTTAATAGGAAGAAGTGTAAACAAAAATTTTATTTTTTTTGATCCAAATTCTCAAAATGAATTTTGTTGAACTCATTTGGTGTAAAGGTGACTGCGAAGGTTCAAAACAGAAGTCTTTAATGGTTACTAATAGTGGAAAGCTGTTGTTGAGATAAGAAAACAGTTTCCCTGAATTGTTAAAACAAGTAATATTTTTTGTTATGTTAACGCCTTAATTAGTGGTACGGGTAACCAAGCTTTCCAATAAACGTTTATAATTTATTCAAGATAGCGTGGAAATTTTAAAAAACTTATTAATTAATTGTCCTTTCTGGATTTAGATTTATATTTTTTAAAATAAATCTTTATGGATACTCTTAATGCTGTTAAATTTCTTGATATTTATAATAAAGGTGTTCTAACTGGATGCGCATTGACATCAACGGCAGCGTCTGAACATATTCATCTAAAATTTGTCAGAAATTATCTGAAAAAAAAAATTGATTTATTCTACAAACAAGATTTTGTAAA